GGGGCTGAAAAGAGGCAATTCAATGGTCACAGCCACGGTTTCATACCATCATGATCCAACTACTGGATGTTTCCATAAAACAGTGCTGAGGAACCTAGAACATTCATCTAGGTCCTCCAACACAACAATATGGTTTCATGCAACCACTGGTAGTTGAAAGTGAGGCAATACAATGGTCACCGCTATGATTTCATACAACCATGATCCAACCACTGGACATTTCTATTAAATTTCTATGAGGAACCTAGAAGATTATCTAGGCTCCTCATAACCTATTGTTGTGTTGGATTATCCTCTAACACAACAATATGGTACGCTGGGGATGAAAGTGAGGCACTTCAATGGTCATCGCTATGGTTTCATACAACCGTGATCCAACCACTGGACATTTCTATCAAATTTTTATGAGGAACCTAGAAGATTATCTAGGTTCCTCATAACCTATTGTTGTGTTGGATTATTCTCCAACACAACAATATGGTTTGCTGGGGCTGAAAAAGAGGCAATTCAATGATCACAGCCATGGTTTCATACCACCATGATCCAACTACTGGATGTTTCCATAAAACAGTGCTGAGGAACCTAGAACATTCATCTAGGTCCTCCAACACAACAATATGGTTTCATACAACCACTGGAAGTTTCCGCCAAATGGTGTTGAGGAACCTAGAACATTCTTCTAGGATCGTTTCCATCTATTTGTCTTGAGGAACCTAGAACATTTTTCTAGGTGCTTCGACACAACACTATGGTACGCAGAGGCAATTCAATGGTCACAGCCATGGTTTCATACAACCATGATCCAACTACTGGATGTTTCCATAAGCTGTTTTGAGGAACTTTGAACATTCTTCTAGGTCCTCCAACACAACAATATGGTTTCATACAACCACTGGAAGTTTCTATCAAGTTGTGTTTAGGAACCTAGAACATTCTTATAGGATCTTTTCCATTGATTTGTCTTGAGGAACCTAGAACATTCTTCTAGGTGCTTCAACACAACAATATGGTTTGCTAGGTCTGAAAAAGAAGCAATTCAATGGTCACAGCCATGGTTTCATACAACCATGATCCAACTACTGGATGTTTCCATAAAGCAGTACTGAGTAATCTAGAACATTCTTCTAGTTCCTCCAACACAACAATATGGTTTCATACAACCACTGGAAGTTTCTGTCAAGTTGTGTTTAGGAACTTAGAACATTCTTCTAGAACCTCCAACACAACAGTTTGGTATGCTGGGCTTGAAAGTGAGGAAATTCAATGGTCACAGCCATGGTTTCATACAATCATGATCCAACCACTGGAAATTTCCATTGAGCTGTTTTGAGAAATCTAGAAAATTCTTCTAGGTCCTCGAACAGAACACAATGGAATGCTGGGGCTGAAAGCAAGGCCATTCAATGGTCACAGACATGTTCATAGGATCATGATCCAACTACTGGACATTTCCATTTCACATTCTTCTAGGTTCTCCAACACAACAATATGGTTTACTAGGACTGAAAGTAAGGCAATTCAGTGGTCACAGCCATGGTGTGACCATTGTTGAGGAACCTATAACATTCTTCTAGGTCCTTCAACAAAATAATATGGTACGCTGGGGCTGAAAGTGAGGCAATTCAATGGTCACAGCTATGGTTTCATATAACCATGACCCTAGCACTGGAAATTTCTATCAAACTGTGTTGAGGAAGCTCAAACATTCTTCTAGATCCTCCAGCACAACAATATGGTTTGCTAGGACTGAAAGCAAGGCAATTCAATGGTCACAGCTACGATGTCGTATAACCACTGGAAATTTCCATCAAGTTGTGTTGAAGAACCTAGAAGATTCTTCCAGGTCCTTCAACACAACAATGTGGTATGCTGGGGCTGAGAGAGAGGCAATTCAATGGTCACAGCCATGGTTTCCTACAACTATGATCCAAGCCCTGGAAATTTCCATCGAGCTGTGTTGAGGAACTTTGAACATTCTTCTAGGTCCTCCAACACAACAATATGGTACGCTTGGGCCGAAAGTGAGGCAATTCAATGGTCATAGCCATGGTTTCATACAATCATGATCCAACTATTGGACATTTTCATAAAGTGGTATTGAGGAATCTAAAACATTCTTCTAGATCCTCCAACATTACAATATGGTTTGCTGGGACTGAAAGCAAGGCAATTCAATGGTCATAGCTATGCTGTCGTTTAACCACTGGAAATTTCCATTGCGTTGAGGAACTTTGAACATTCTTCTAGGTCCTCCAACACAACAATATGGTACGCTGTGGCTGAAAGTGAGGCAATTCAATGGTCACCGCTATGGTTTCATACAACCGTGATCCAACCACTGGACATTTCTATCAAATTTTTATGAGGAACTCAGAAGATTATCTAGGTTCCTCATAACCTATTGTTGTGTTGGATTATCCTCCAACACAACAATATGGTACGTTGGGGCTGAAAGTGAGGCAACTCAATGGTCACCGCTATGGTTTCATACAACCGTGATCCAACCACTGGACATTTCTATCAAATTTTTATGAGGAACTCAGAAGATTATCTAGGTTCTTCGTACATTCTAACCTATTGTTGTGTTGGATTATTCTCCAACTCAACAATATGGTACGTTGGGGCTGAAAGTGAGGCAACACAATGGTCACAGCCACGGTTTCATACAACCATGATCCAACTACTGGATGTTTCCATGAAATAGTGCTGAGGAATCTAGAACATTTTTCTATGTCCTCCAACACAACAATATGGTTTCATACAACCACTAGAAGTTTCTGTCAAATTGTGTTGAGGATCCTAGAACATTCTTCTAAGACCGTTTCCATCAAGTTGTGTTGAGGAGCCAAGAACATTCTTCTAGGTGATTCAACACAACAATATGGTTTGCTGGGGCTGAAAAAGAGGCAATTCAATGGTCACAGCCATGTTTTCATACAACCATGATCCAACTACTGGATGTTTCCATAAAGCAGTGCTGAGGGACCTAGAACATTATTCTAGTTCCTCCAACAAAACAATATGGTTTCATACAACCACTGGAAGTGTTTGTCAAGTTGTGTCAAGGAACCTAGAACATTGTTCTAGGACTTCCAACACAACAATATGGTATGCTGGTCTTGAAAGTGAGGCAATTGAATGCTCACACCCATGGTTTCATACAACCATGAGTCAACCACTGGAAATTTTCATTGAGGTCTGTTGAGGAACCTTGAACATTCTTCTAGGTCCTTCAACACAACAACATGGTACACTGGGGCTAAAAGTTAGGCAATTCAATGGTCTCAGCCATGGTTTCATACAATTATGATCCAAGCACTGGAAATCTCCATCGAGCTGTGATGAGGAACTTTGAACATTCACAGCTATGGTGTCGTTTAACAACTGGAAATTTCTATCAAATTATGTTGAGGAGCCTAGAGCATTCTTTTAGGTCCTCCAATGTGCTGGGCTGATAATGAGGCAATTCAATGGTCATCGCTATGGTTTCATACAACCGTGATCCAACCACTGGACATTTCTATCAAAATTTTATGAGGAACTTAGAAGATTATTTAGGTTCCTCATAACCTATTGTTGTGTTGGATTATTCTCCAACACAACAATATGGTACGCTGGGGCTGAAAGTGAGGCAATTCAATGGTCACCGCTATGGTTTCATACAACCGTGATCCAACCACTGGACATTTCTATCAAATTTTTATGAGGAACCCAGAAGATTATCTAGGTTCCTCATAACTATTGTTGTGTTGGATTATCCTCCAACACAACAATATGGTACGTTGGGGCTGAAAGTGAGGCAACTCAATGGTCACCGCTATGGTTTCATACAACCGTGATCCAACCACTGGACATTTCTATCAAATTTTTATGAGGAACTCAGAAGATTATCTAGGTTCTTCGTACATTCTAACCTATTGTTGTGTTGGATTATTCTCCAACACAACAATATGGTATGCTGGGGCTGAAAAAGAGGCAATTCAATTGTCACAGCCACGGTTTCATGCCATCATGATCCAACTACTGGATGTTTCCATGAAACAGTGCTGAGGAATCTAGGACATTTTTCTAGGTCCTCCAACATAACAATATGGTTTCAAAAAACCACTAGAAATTTCTGTCAAATTGTGTTGAGAAACTAGAACATTCTTCTAGGACCATTTCCATCAAGTTGTGTTGAGGAGCCAAGAACATTCTTCTAGGTGATTCAACACAACAATATGGTTTGCTGGGGCTGAAAAAGAGGCAATTCAATGGTCACAGCCATGTTTTCATACAACCATGATCCAACTCCTGTTTCCATAAAGCAGTGCTGAGGGACCTAGAACATTATTCATAGAACATATGAGGAACCCAGAAGATTATCTAGGTTCCTCATAAGCTATTGTTGTGTTGGATTATCCTCCAACACAATAATATGGTACACTGGAGCTGAAAGTAAGGCAATTCAATGGTTTCATACAACCGTGATCCAACCACTGGACATTTCTATCAATTTTTTATGAGGAACCCAGAAGATTATCTAGGTTCCTCATAACCTATTGTTGTGTTGGATTATCCTCCAACACAACAATATGGTACGTTGGGGCTGAAAGTGAGGCAACTTAATGGTCACCGCTATGGTTTCGTACAACTGTGATCCAACCACTGGAAAAGTCCATCATGTAGAGAAACCTAGAACATAACACTGTGTTGAGGAACCTAGAACATTCTCCATACAGCCATGATCTAGAATGTCCAACTTGCAACATGTAGAGAAACTTAGAACATAAAGCTGTGTTGGGGAACTTAGAACATTCTCCATACAGCTGTGATCTAGAATGTCCAACTTGCACAGGGAAGCAAAGCGGAGAAATTGGTTTGCAAGAGAGAGATGGACAGTGGGGAGATTTCTGAGCTGAGTTGTTGAGTTTGTGGCTTGAGGGAAGGCAAGAGTAAACAATGCAAAGAAGGAAGGGAAACTTTGCTTTCTGCAATTCAGCCGAAACCAACCACTCTTCCTTTCAACTTCCTTTATTTGCGAGTCCGACCAGGGGACATTCTTCCTTCTCAAAGAACGTGGTGGAGATCTCTTCTGAAGAGGTAAGCAACCCTTTGTTTTGTCCTGGATTAATAGAATTTATGGAGAACCATAGAATTCTACAACCATCGAATTGTTGGGTTGGAAGAGGTTGCAATGACTGTCTAGTTCAATTACTTCAACATTATATATTCATAGCACTTTGATACATTCCTAGGTCATATCCTAGAGATCTCCGACACTGAACAATCAATGTCTTCCAATACCTTGCTTTGTTGTTGGTCTTTTGTGCGTTTTGTTGTGCACGTTCAAGTCAAGTTATGGCAATCTTAGGCGTTCCAGGCAGGGGCGGATCAACCATTATGCATAGTAAACCTATGCAGTACAGTTGATTTTGCTAGGGCGCTCTTGAGGCGCTCTTGGGGGAAAATAGACCTTGACATATGCGAGTTGTAGTTACTGGGATGTATCGTTCACCTACAATCAAAGAGCATTCTGAACTCCACCAATGATGGAATTGAACCAAATATGGCACACAGAACTCCCACAACGAACAGAAAATATATATCAGTGATTGGGGGGGGGGGGGGGGCAAAATACTGTTTGTTTCCAGGCAAGATAGAGAAGGTGTGCCATTGTCTTTGTATGAGGCTGAGAGGAGAGTGTGAGTTTTTTTTGGCAGAGCAAGGCTCATATCAATAATAATAATAATAATAATAATAATAATAATAATAATAATAATAATAATAATAAATCACACCGTCCTAGACACTGGGAAGTGTCTGACTTGTGATTTTGTGATACGAAATCCAGCATTTAGATCTCATTTGCTGTGACATACTGTGGTGATAATGATAATAATAATAATAATAATAATAATAATAATAATAATACATCACACAGTCCTAGATGCTTGGGAAGTGTTCGACTTGTGATTTTGTGATACGAAATCCAGCATATATATCTCATTTGCTGTGACATACTGTTTTTGTGTCAGTATAATAATAATAATAATAATAATAATAATAATAATAATAATAATAATCGGCTCCCTGGTCCCCTCCCACCCCAGACAATTATGGAAGGTAGGTTCTTGTGGGTTTTTTTGGGCTATATGGCCATGTTCTCGAGGCAACCATGATCCAACTACTGGATGTTTCCATAAAGCAGTACTGAGTAATCTAGAACATTCTTCTAGTTCCTCCAACACAACAATATGGTTTCATACAACCACTGGAAGTTTCTGTCAAGTTGTGTTGAGGAACCTAGAACATTCTTCTAGGACCGTTTCCATCAAGTTGTGTTGAGGAACCTAATACATTCTTCTAGGTGCTTCAACACAACAATATGGTTTGCTGGGGCTGAAAAAGAGGCAATTCAATGGTCACAGCCATGGTTTCATACAACCATGATCCAACTACTGGATGTTTCCATAAAGCAGTACTGAGTAATCTAGAACATTCTTCTAGTTCCTCCAACACAACAATATGGTTTCATACAACCACTGGAAGTTTCTGTCAAGTTGTGTTGAGGAACCTAGAACATTCTTCTAGGACCGTTTCCATCAAGTTGTGTTGAGGAACCTAATACATTCTTCTAGGTGCTTCAACACAACAATATGGTTTGCTGGGGCTAAAAAAGAGGTAATTCAATGGTCACAGCCATGGTTTCATACAACCATGATCCAACTACTGGATGTTTCCATAAAGCAGTACTGAGTAATCTAGAACATTCTTCTAGTTCCTTCAACACAACAATATGGTTTCATACAACCACTGGAAGTTTCTGTCAAGTTGTGTTGAGGAACCTAGAACATTCTTCTAGGACCGTTTCCATCAAGTTGTGTTGATGAACCTAATACGTTCTTCTAGTTCCTCCAACACAACAATATGGTTTCATACAACCACTGGAAGTTTCTGTCAAGTTGTGTTTAGAAACCTAGAACATTCTTCTAGGGGCTTCAACACAACACTATGGTACGCTGGGACTGAAAGTGAGGCAATTCAGAGGTCACAATTATGAAAGGTTTTTTTTTCATGTCATAAGGGACTTGAGAAAGTGCAAGTCGCTTCTGATGTGAGATAATTGGGCACCTGCAAGGATGTTGCTCAGGGGACACCCAATGTTTGATGTTGAACCATCCTTGTGGGAGGCTTCTCTCCTGTCCCTGCATGGGGAGCTGGAGCTGACAGAGGGAGCTCAACCCGCTGACCTGTTGACCTGTTCGAACTGCTGACCTATTGGTCAGCAAGTCCTGCTGGCACAAGGGTTTAACCCATTGCACCACCGGACCTCCAACAGAGACATGGAGGAGGGGAGACAGTTTTGCAGGAAGCCTTGTGATTGGCTGAAAAGGAAAAAAACAGCAGCATGCAGTTGCCATTGTCAATCACATTAGTCCCCTTGCCCCCACCCATCAAATTGGACTGGCTTGCCCACTAGGTCTCTCCCAACTCTATGATTCTATGATTCAGATGTAGGATTGTGGCCATGCTTTGTAACCCTCGGGTTGCCATGATGGTCCGATGTCTACTCTGTAGGTCTGTCCTTGGGAGTGAGAATTCCCCCTTCCGGAAGCATGAGACAGAACAATGCTCACTCATTTCTCTCCTCCATTTCCCCATAGGCAACATGGGAAGCAAATCCTGGCTGGCCGTGTACCTGTTGGTCCTCATCCTGGATCCGACCACTCCTCAGGGAAGCGTCTGCCAAGCTCCCAATGGCAGAGATGGGCATCCGGGGGCTCCGGGCCGAGACGGACGACTGGGACAGAAGGGTGATGTCGGCGAACCAGGTATAGAATCACTATTATTTATTTATTTATATTATTCATATTTATTTATATTATTTTTATTTGTATTATATTATATTATTATTTATTTATATTAATATTAATTTTTATTTTTATTTTTATTATATTATTTATATTATTTCTATTATATCTATTATTTATACTATTTATATTATATTATTATATTATTATCTATATATATAAAAACGTTCATGTCGTCGTGAGTGGCTTAAAAACAAAAGAACCACTGGGCCAATACCCACCAAACTTGGCAACAAAACTCCTTACCATACAAGGTGTGACCAACAATAATAAAAAATAACAAAAAACCAAAAAGAACTTATAAATCTATATATATATAAACGTTCATGTCGTCGTGAGTGGCTTAAAAACAAAAGAACCGCTGGACCAATACCCACCAAACTTGGCAACAAAAATCCTTACCATACAAGGTGTGACCAACAATAATAAAAAATAACAAAAAACCAAAAAGAACTTATAAATCCTTAATAAAAGGAGAACCCATCACAGCGTCCTTCCTTTCCTTTCCATTCTTCCCTTCTTCGCCTTATCTTCTGCCCATCCTTCCTGTCCTTCTTTCTGTTATCTTCTGCCCTTTCTTTCCTTCCTTCCCTTCTTTCCCCTTCTGTTTTTCCTCTCTCCCTCCTTCCTACCCTTCCCCTTCCTTCGTTTCCTTCTTCCCCTTAAAGAGTGACGGGCCCGTGCCCCCCCCCCCCCACCACCACAAGCAACTCCCAAATGTCAAGGTCTTCCCCAAACTCCACTGTGTACAAATTTTGCCATATTGAGTTTTCTTCCCAAGTTTGGTCCAGATTCATCTTTGTTTTGACTCACAGTGCTCTCCAGATGTAAGTGGACTGCTATTATTATTATTGTTATTGTTCTTATTATTATTAACCTGAGCCTGGCTATCTGTCAGGAGTGGTTAGATTGTGCTTCTCCCATTGGCCAAAAGGGGCTGCACTGGATGGCCCTTGGAAGTCTCTTCCTATCCTACAATTATTTTATTATTATTATTATTATTATTATTATTAGTATTAGTATTATACTGAGCCTGAATGGCCATCTCTCAGGAGTGGTTTGATTGCGCTTTTCCCTTATGCCAGAAGGGGCTGGACTAGATGGCTTTTGGAGGTCTCTTCCTACCATAGGATTCCATCATCATCATCATCAACTTGAGGCTGGCCATCTCTTAGGAGTGGTTTTCCCATTTTCCAAAAGGGGCTGGACTGGATGGCCCTTGGAGGTCTCTTCCTACCCTACCATTCTATTATTCTTATCAACCATCTGTCAAAAGTGCTTTGATTGTGCTTTTCCACCATGAGGGTAGAAGAGGGTTGCCACAGAGTATGCCACAGAAACGCGTGGCTGGGTATAGCTAGTTATTTATATTTATTTACGGTATGTTTATTTATATTTATTTATATTATTTACATTTTATCGAAAGCTTTCATGGCCCGAATCCCTGGGTTGCTGTGATTCTTCCGGGCTCTCTGCTCCCCACCTCAGAGGCCTCTTCCTCGCCAGGCTGGGCGCCCAAGCTTGGCGCCCAGCCTGGTGAGGATGGAGCAGGGAGCAGAAGAGTTCATGAGGAGGAGGACACCACTGCCAAGGTCCTCTTCAGTGGCTCTATGGCCACCGCCGAGGCCTCCTCAGTGGCGGCAGCAGAGTTCACGAGGAAGCGGACATCACCGCCGAGGCCCTCTTCAGTGGTGGCAACAGAGTTCACGAGGAGGAGGACACCACCACCGAGGTCCTCTTCAGTGGCTCTATGGCCACCGCCGAGGCCCTCTTCAGTGGTGGTAGCAGAGTTCACAAGGAGGAGGACACCACCGCCAAGGCCCTCTTCAGTGGTGGCAGTAGAGTTCACGAGGAGGAGGACACCACCGCTGAGGCCCTCTTCAGTAGCTCTATGGTCATAGGACCACCGCTGAGGCCCTCTTCAGTGGTGGCAGCAGAGTTCACGAGGAGGAGGACACCTCCGTCGAGGTCCTCTTCAGTGGCTCTATGGCTCTATGGCCACCGCCGAGGCCCTCTTCAGTGGTGGCAGCAGAGTTCACGAGGAGGAGGACACCTCCGTCGAGGTCCTCTTCAGTGGCTCTATGGCTCTATGGCCACCGCCGAGGCCCTCTTCAGTGGTGGCAGCAGAGTTCACGAGGAGGAGGACACCACCGCCAAGGCCCTCTTCAGTGGTGGCAGCAGAGTTCACGAGGAGGAGGACACCTCCGTCGAGGTCCTCTTCAGTGGCTCTATGGCTCTATGGCCACCGCTGAGGCCCTCTTCAGTGGTGGCAGCAGAGTTCATGAGGAGGAGGACACTACCGCCAAGGCCCTCTTCAGTGTCTCTATGGCCCTACGGCCACCGCCGAGGCCCTCTTCAGTGGTGGCAGCAGAGTTCATGAGGAGGAGGACACTACCGCCAAGGCCCTCTTCAGTGTCTCTATGGCCCTACAGCCACCGCCGAGGCCCTCTTCAGCGGCGGCCTTCTTCTCCTCCTCGCCACCTCCACTGATCCCCACCTTGAAGGCCCCTGACAATCTGTGAGGTAGGGACACTCTGCCCACTTAAGTGGACAGAGTGCCCCTACTTCACGGCAGCCTCCTCCTCACTGCCTCCACTGCTCCCCGCCTTGGGGGCCCCTTCCTTGCCAGGGTGGGCACCCAAGGGGCCTCCGAGGTGGGGTAGGGATACTCTGCCCACTCGGTGGTGGCCTCCTCATCCTTACCACTCCCCACCTTGGAGGCCCCTTTGGCGCCCAGCCTAGTGAGGAACGGCAGCAGCAATGCAGTGTTGTCGCTGCTCCATGCGAAACAGCAAGTCCGCGATAAGCGAACCATGAAGTAGTGAGGGAACACTGTATATACGCTCCACATGCCTCACTGCCAAGAGACCTCTGAAGATGCCAGCTGGAATGCTGCTGGAACCTGGCCATACAGCCCAAAAAACTCACAGCAACTCTTTGCTAGTCAAAACCGAGCCTTAGATAGACAATTGAGGGAGATGAAAGTAGGTGAAAAGTTTCAAAAGAACTGTACGACCTGAAGAAAGAGAGATATAGGGCCTTGAACCTGAAAATTTATGAAGTATTAAGTGTTTAAGTATTCATGACACTTCCTCTGCTTTTCTCCAAGGTGTGGCCGCGCGAAGCACGGGTGTCCGCGGACTCAAAGGTGACCCAGGGCAGCCTGGACCCCCAGGAAAGCCTGGCAACCAAGGCTATCACGGTGCAGATGGCCCTGCAGGCCCAGCAGGCCCCATGGGGAGCAAAGGCGTCAAAGGCCAAGTCAGCAACGTCCAGGACCAGAGCCGGACGGCCTTCTCGGCCACCCGGCAGTCCCCAGGCCCGACCCCAAATGCCAACGCCGTAGTCTTCGACAACGTCATCACCAACCAAGACAACCGCTACAGCGCTCTGACTGGGGAGTTCACCTGCAAAGACCCCGGGTACTATTACTTCAGCTTCCAGGTAGTTTCCAGCGGCAGCCTCTGCCTCCGCCTCATGCACAAAGGCACTGTGGTGGCCACCTTCTGCGATGAAAACAACCACAGGATCTTTCAGGTCAACTCGGGCAGCAGCGTCCTCAAGCTGGCTGAGGGGGAACGGGTTTGGCTGGAGCGGGACCCTGAAGACGGGAACAGCAACATTTACACGGGTCCCGACGCCGACAGTGTGTTCAGCGGCTTCCTGTTGTTCCCCTCAGAGGCGTGAGAAGGCCACCTTGGCCCCCGTACTATGCCCACAAAGACTGTTGTGCCAACCTAATGTGTGCCTAAGCATCTGTCCCACTGTTTGTCAAATCTAAATGCTCTGAGGAAGGCCAGCTAACATCTAGAATGACTGCTACATATGGGGTCAAACAGGGTTGGATACTGGTTCCTACTATATTCAACATATCCATGTATGATTTACCTTAGCTCCATTCTACACATGTTTTCATTCTCTCATATGCAGATGATGCTGTGCTACTGTCCTTATCTGGTATCAGCCTTAAATGCTTAATGCATTGCTTTGCCACCAAGCTCCATTCTACCCATGTTCCCTTACTCTTGTATGCAGTTGATACTGTACTATTGTCCTTATCTCGTATTGGCCTTAAATGCTTAATTCATTGGTGAATGGATGGATAGATTGGTAGATGGAGCAAGAAAACAAAAATGTATTAGTGAATTAATGGATAGATTGGTAGATGGATAGATAGATAGATAGATAGATAGATAGATAGATAGATAGATAGAGGGATGAGTAGATGAAGAGAGAGAGATAAAGAGAGTTGGAATTATGGATAGTGGGATGAATAGATAGATAGATGAATAGATAGGTAGAGATAGATAGATAGATGATAGAAAGATGAGTAGATGAAGAGAGCTAAAGAGAGATGAAATGAGGGATAGTGGGATGAATAGATAGATCAATAGATAGTGATAGAATGAATGATGGGTAATGGGATGAGTAGATGAATAGATAGATAGATAGATAGATAGATAGATAGATAGATAGATGGGTAGATGAAGAGAGAGAGATGGAATGATGGGTAGTGGGATGTGAATAGATAGATAGACAGACAGACGGAGAAAGGAAGAACTTTATTGGTGAATGGGTGGATGGAGGGATGGATTGGTAGAAAGATAGATAGAGCAAGAAAGCAAAAAATGTATTGGTGAATGGATGGATAGATTGGTAGATGGATGGATGGATGGATAGATAGATAGATAGATAGACGGAGAAAGGAAGAACTGTATTGGTGAATGGGTGGATGGATGGATGGATTGGTAGAAAGATAGAGCAAGAAAACAAAAAATGTATTGGTGAATGGATGGATAGATCGGTAGATGGATGGATAGATAGATAGATAGATAGATAGATAGGGAAAGGAAGAACTGTATTGGTGAATGGGTGGATGGATGGATTGCTAGAAAGATAGAGCAAGAAAGCAAAAAATGTATTGGTGAATGGATGGATAGATTGGTGGATGGATAGATAGATAGATAGATAGATAGATAGATAGATAGATAGATAGATAGACGGAGAAAGGAAGAACTGTATTGGTGAATGGGTGGATGGATGGATGGATTGGTAGAAAGATAGAGCAAGAAAACAAAAAATGTATTGGTGAATGGATAGGTAGGTAAGTAGATAGATAGATTGAAGGGTGGGTGGACAGAGATAGATAGATGATAGATAGATAGATAGATAGATAGATAGATAGATAGATAGATAGATGATAGATAGATAGATAGTAGGCTTGGTTGATCAAGAAAAAAATGGTTCTAAACTCGTTTCGTATATAGGAGGCGCTGGCGGTTCGATTTTGAAATTATTTCCAAAATTTTCTTTAAAAAAAAGATTGAAAATACCAGGAAATATGAATTGCTTCCTTTGTTTCGTTAATGGAAGGTGCCCCTCCCTCCCTCCAGAACCATTAAAATCTCGCAGTTTCCCTTCCTTCCCTTGCCGCGAGCTTCCATGCAGAAGGGAGAGGTGGGCGTGGCCAAGCACAGCTCTCCTTGGAGGTCGCTGGGGGCGTGGCCTTCAGGAACAGCTGTTCTTACCCACGCCCACCTCCTTCCTCTTTGCATCGGCGGCTTTGCGAGGTGGGCTTTGCGAGGTGGGCGTGGCTACGCCCAGCTCTTCCATAGCCACGCCCACCTCGCAAAGCCCACCTCGCAAAGCCGCCGATGCAAAGAGGAAGGAGGTGGGCGTGGGTAAGAACAGCTGTTCCTGAAGGCCACGCCCCCAGCATTTACGATTCACTGCCGGAAGTCGTAAGGAAGATGGCGGATGCGGCTTCGATATGGCAAAAACACTTCCGGGTTGCCAAAACGCGTCGATATTGCTTCTAAAGGTATTTTATTTACGATTTCTAATGAGATTAGAAATTAACGAGCTGGATCAACCAAGCCTAATAGATAGATAGATAGATAGATAGATAGATAGATAGATAGATAGATAGAGCAAGAAGTGTATTGGTGAATTTCTGAGTTTTGGGATATAAGGTTTGCTTCAGGGGGAAACCTGTTAGATCAGGCATCATTTGGAAATCAAGTTCATGTGCCATGGAAATCCTGTTCAAGGGGTCTTGTTCTTGTGGAGTTTTTTAGCCTTTTAGATTGTCTTTGCATCCTGTTGATTCCTGTATGGATAAATGCTGTCATGGATTGCTTTTATATCTGGTGTGGACATTGCTTTGTGTTACTACCTTTTATGGACTTACTTTTTGGAACTTTTTTATTTTCTTACAAGCATTTATTTCTCCTGACTATTTACTAAGCTTCAATAAAAGAAGATTTGTTTATTCACTCTTTGTGTGGTGTGTTTTAAAATCAAAGGGCTTTTTCCTGACCTGGAGTGCAACAGCCAGTCCGGGTTGAAGTGAGCTCCTGACCATTAATAGCCTAGCTTGCTGTTGACCTATGCAGTCTGAAAGATAGTTGCATCTGTCAAGTAGGAAATTTAGGTACCACTTTAGGCGGGGAGGCTAATTTAACTAATTCGCGATGCCATAAATCTTTTCAGCAGCATGCATAAGAATGAGGAAGTACTCCATCACAAGTGGATGGCGAAGCATACCCTCATGAAGCCGGAGTAGCTGGAATGTTAAATTGCCTCTGTGTCTCTGTCTGGAAATACATCCTGCTCTGGAAATACATCCTGCTTA